AAACTTGGAACAAAATTATTAGCATGCAGTGAACAAAATGATCAACTTGCAATAAATTTCAAACACAAAAAATATATGGGATCCCACTTGTGTTTCATTAATTTTTCTTTTTTCTCTTTTGCATTTTTGAGGTGGTGGGATTTTTTTGAAAATTATTTTATACTGCCCTAAGAATATACCCTTTGGGGCTTCAGCTAGTTTTGGAATATATCATTGGGTGAATATACCATGGTGTGAATCCTGGGATTTGTCTGCTATCCACCTGCAGCCCTACCACCAGGCTTGAAAACAGAACATAAGTCTTCACAATGAAAGCTGATTTCTGTTCATTTATTTCTCTGGGTTCCTAAGTTTATAATATTTTTAAAGATTTTTAGCCAAAATGTCTTTTTTTTTTTTTCTTTTTAGTGACAGATCCACAGGGTGGAAATGGAGAAACAGTTCTACGGTTTCTGCATTGTCACAGCAGACAGCACTTACACAGTTCTGCCTTGCTTACCTTAGTTTTAGTCTTAGGTTTATACTTTAGTAAGCCAATATTATATTAAATACAGCCTCCCTCTCATCCACAGTGTTGCTTTCTGTAGTTTCTCTTGTCCATGGTCAACCTCAGTCCAAAAAGTGTTACATGGAAAATTCCAGCAATAAACAATTCCTAAGTTTTAAATTATGCCTCATTCTAAGTGGCGTGATGAAATCTCAAGCTGTCCTTCTCCATCCTTCCAGGGATGTGAGTCATCCCTTTGCCCAGTGTATCCATGTTGTACATGCCACCTGCATGCTGGTCACTTGGTAGCCACCTTGGTTATCAGTGAGACAGCATCCCAAGTGCTTGCGTTCAAGTAATCCTTATTCTATTTAATAGTGGTCCCAAAGTGTGAGAGTAGTAATGCTGGCGTATTGTTATAATTTTTCTATTTTATTGATAGTTGTCATAAATCTATTAATGTGCCTAATTTATAAATTAAACTTCCGGGCGCGGTGGCTCACGCCTGTAATCCCAGCACTTTGGGAGGCCGAGGCGGGTGGATCACGAGGTCAAGAGATCGAGACCATCCTGGTCAACATGGTGAAACCCCATCTCTACTAAAAATACAAAAAAATTAGCTGGGCATGGTGGCATGTGCCTATAGTCCCAGCTACTCGGGTGGCTGAGGCAAGAGAATTGCCTGAACCCAGGAGGTGGAGGTTGCGGTGAGCTGAGATCGCGCCAGTGCACTCCAGCCTGGGTAACAAGAGCGAAACTCCGTCTCAAAAAAAAAAATAAATAAAATAAAAAATAAATTAAACTTTATCATAGGCATGTATGTATAGAAAAAAATAGTATATACAGGGTTTGGTACTATCCATGGTTTCTGGCATCCACAGGTATCTTGGAACACATCTCATATGGATAAACACCACATGTTCTCACTCATAAGCGGGTGTTAAACAATGAGAACACATGGACACAGGGAGGGGAACATCACACACTGGGGCCTATTGGAGGGTGGGAACTAGAGGAGGGATAGCAGGGGGTGGGAGGATTGGGGAGGGATAACATTAGGAGAAATACCTAACACAGTGACAGAGGGATGGATGTAGCAAACCACCATGGCATGTGTGTACCTACGTAAGAATCCTGCATGACCTGCACATGTACCCCAGAACTTAAAGTATAATAATAAAAAATATTATGAAAAAAAGACGACGACTGTATAAATATATATACATACGCACCCAACCTTTTGTCCTAGTCACCTGGCTGACAGAAATTCGTTCGCTGATTATCTCTTCAAACGAGGTCTTAAAAACAACGTTCTCGCCTGTAATCCCAGCACTTTGGGAGGCCGAGGTGGGCGAATCACGAGGTCAAGAGATCGAGACCATCCTGGCCAACATGGTGAAACCCCGTCTCTTCTAAAAATACAAAAAAACTAGCTGGGCGTGGTGGTGCGCGCCTGTAGTCCCAGCTACTCAGGAGGCTAAGGCAGGAGAATTGCTTGAACCCGGGAGGCGGAGATTGCAGTGAGCCGAGGTCACACCACTGCACTCCAGCCTGGCGCCTGGTGACAGAGTGAGGCCCTGTCTTAAAAAGAAAAAAAATTCTCTGATTTTTGTTGCATATTTAAAACTTCGTGGCCTTTTTATTTAAATGCCAGTTCTGAGGCATATAAAATCTGAGGATTACACTTACTTATGTAAGGAATTTGTATGGTCTTCACCTGTGCCTCTATTTAATGGTAATTATATTTTGGAACAACGCATGATAGCCCAACTGGCCTGCTTCCAATGGAGGTGGAGGGTTTATAAACCTTGTTAAAGAAATCCCTGAGAAAAGAGATTGCCAATAATACTTGTTTTTTTCTTTATATATTCATATGTTTTTAACTTTTAATGAATATATATTATTGTAGAACTTAAAAAAAAACAAAAGAACTTTAATTTTGTTTGAGCAATAAAGCTATTTTTAAACCAGATATGATAATAAAATTTATCTCATTAATATCGAAATTAGCAAAAAGCCAGGAGATACATCTATCTTCTCAGACTTGGACTCTAAAGTCTCACACAAATCAGTGATAATTTAAAGTATAATCCCAATATAGAGCTAAAGATCATTTATTCAATCAATATATTGCTGATTTTAAACATAGCTCAGCAGCAGTTTTGAAAGGAAGGTGGAGTAGGAGAGACTGAACAAAAAAAGAGAGAGAGATTAAGAGACATTTAAAAGTAACAGAAATAAAATGTAGGCGTTATATAGGGAAAAATAATCCTGAAACAGATTTTGTATTTGTCTGCTGAGAATACTGAGCTATTTGGAAACAATATTCAATGCGATAAGATTGCATATGAGGTTAACACCTATTTCTTCTACACTAACCTGCCTTATCCCTGTTCATTATTTAAGTCAGAGGTTCTCAACCTGACAGAGTTCTTTATTCTTGGCACTATTGTCATTTTGGGCCAGATAATTCATGTGGGTGTCAGGGGCTGGGGGCTGTCCTGTGCATTGCAAGATGTCTAAATAGTACAAGATGCCAATATACATCCTCAGTTGTGACCACCAGAAATGTCGCTGGGCACTTCCAAATGTTCTCCAATGGTGAAATTGCTCTCAGTCTTTATTCCAATCATGTCCTCCATGAATCAGGCTCAGTTATTACTTAATAGAGTTTGCCAGAAGTTCCCCTTTTCTTCATTGATATTAGTTTATAATTTCAGATAATATGCCTAAGTAAGCAACTAGCTATCACACTCCTATTTTTATGCCTTTTTCTTCTGTGTATTACTAGCTTCCATATTTTCAGTAAATATCCTTCTATAGTACAGTGTGCTGGTCTTTGAAGAGCATATCAAATCAGTGGTCTCTTTCTCAAGAACATCAGTCCTAGTTTGATGAAAGATAAGTGACAAAATAGAAATATAACTGATCATTTTATCATATATATATATATATATATATATACATATATATATAATCTTTTCTCATGCTGTGTCATAAAACATTAGAGAAGTCTACTGTTTTATCCACTTCCAGGTGATGAGAAGTCAACTCAAAAATCAGGACTCATAACATCAATCCGTGCCTTTGGGTTCCTAGAGGAAAGGTAACATAATATTGAAGATAGAAGAAGGTTATCATAAAGAAAAAAATCCCAAGGCAAAAAATAAGATTTGTGTACCATCATTCCATTCTATGTATCCAAGGTACACTGGGTCTGGCACAAATTACCTCCTCGATTAATAAATAAAATCTCTGTAAATGAATAGTAACTCTAGGAATAGTTATACCATTTATTTTTATATATTCATTCCTAATGTTGACAAGAATCTAACTTAAAATTTAACCCATATTACATTATCAAATTTAAAAAAGAAGACTAAAGCTTAATATACCCAATGTGTTCCTGCCCTTCAATGAACAGAATACCTAGCTTTGAAATTAAAAACTTAAATTTAAGTAATAAACATAAACTATTATATTAAATGTTCTAATCTACATTCTGTTCTAATTTTACATTTTGAAGCATGCAGAGTAAATGAGTTTTTAGTGCCTGAGAATAGGAAATCAATCCTTAATAATTCTCTAAGGGATCATGGGAACCAACACATCTAGTTCTCTTCTATGTGCACTAACAAATGGCTTCATGGGAAAGAATTCTGAATTAAGAGCTAACAAAAGCAGCACCCTACCAATTAAGTTTAACATGAGAGGCAGAATTAGCAATTATGGAAATCATACAAAAGTTGCAAAGGACATAATAGTTTTTTTAAAAAATTACACAGCTAGATGTCTACCAATCCCAGTCAACCTAGAACCTTCTCTCCCTAAGCCTACTTTCACTCTGAAGGATTTAAATAGGGACTGGCTATAAAAATTGCTAGTTGCCTGGAGGATTCATCTGGAATGAGATGAATCTTGGGTAGCAAGCAAATTACACCTCTGCTTTGAATTCATAAAAATTGTTTCCATAGTGTGATAAAATTTCGAGTTCTGTCTTCAAACTGTTGAATGGACACCACCTGAAATATTAACTGAAATACCTTGTATAAATAAATCCTCATTTTTCCATTATTAACTCTGGGAACAAGAGGAGATGAAGGACAAATAATCTTTTGTTCCAGATCCAGCAAGATGGTTTACCAGATACCATTCCACCGAGTCAACACTAAAACATGACAACAATATTTATTTGCTAACTTGAAGCTAGCTGCATTCATATGCTTGCCATTTACTTCATATTTATAATAAACATTGTCTCCATGTCTTGTTTTTATTTCTCAACACATTGTCCTCAGAGGCAGAGCTTCTGCAAAGTATTACTCAATAAACAATTGTTAAAATGTACTTTAGCAGATCATTATTATATCTCAAATTCTAATAATGATCTGTTGGGAATTTCAGGGCAGGTGTGAGTAAATTTATTTTCATCTTAGTGCCTCTATTTTGTCAATATAAGGAAGAATTAATAGAGAAAACTTATAGTAAATTTTTAAGAACACAAATCAAAGGAGGAAGTGAATGCAGCATTATTACTGCATATACTTCCTGCTTTATGACAATGATCCTTAGGAGGACTATAAAATGTATGAATCATCTTTCACTTCTCTTTAGACAAAATATATTTGGTGACCAACTTCCTCATGGCTGTCTTTACTTCCTTGTTTCTCAATGTGTAAATAATGGGATTAAGTAAAGGGAATATCACAGTATGAAACACAGACACCACTTTGTCTAGGGAAAAAGAGTCAAATGGGCGAGCATAAATGTAGATGGATGGCCCAAACATTAGCACCACAATGGTAATGTGGGAATAGCAGGTGGACATGGCCCTGCTGGTATTCTCACCTGAGCCTGTGAGTTTCTTGAGCATGGCCAGCAGGAAGGCATAGGACATTAACAGAGCAATGAAACACACCACAGAGATCAGACCACTGCTAAAGATCATCACTAACTCTTCTGGGAAGGTGCTGGCACAGGCAATCCGGACAACCTGTGTGATGTCACAGAAGTAACTGTCTAACTCATTGGGCCCACAGAAAGGAAGTCGAACAATGAGAGCCACCCGTATTATAGAATGAATGAAGCCTCCTATCCAGGAGAAAGCCACCAGGATATAGCAGAGACGTCGATTCATGATAGTAGCATAGCGGAGGGGTCGGCAGATAGCAGCGTAACGGTCAAAGGCCATCACTGTGAGCAAGAACATCTCTGATGCCCCAACAAAGTGTAAGAAGAAGAGCTGTGCAATGCATCCACCAAAGGAAATTATCTTCCTCTCCACAAAGAAGTCTATGAGCATTTTAGGGGCTGTAACGGAAGAGTACCAAATATCAAGGAAGGCCAGATTAGCCAACAGGAAATACATAGGAGAAGTCAGATGAGGGTCAAGCCAGATGGTGCAAATGATAAGGATATTTCCTGGTAGGATGAACAAATAGAAGGATAAAAATATAGCAAATAGGACTAGCTGGACCTCCCGAGTCTGGGATAGGCCAGTGAGAACAAATTCTGTCACTTTGGTGTAATTTGCGGTTGCCATTTCTTCAATTAACTTTTTTCATAATATAGCTATGAAAATTAAAGAAACTATAATTAGTCCACATAGCATTTAACTAGAGTTATATCACTGCTTTCCAAACTGTCTTATGTTCCCTGTCATTAACAGATTGCATAAGGATACATTTGGTTGCCCATTTTATACTTGATAAACCAGGAGGGAGAGAATATATGATGAACTTGTAAATTAGAAACATTAAAACCATATAAAGTGTGGCATATATTTGAAATTCCAATCTCAGCTTGTTAATGTTAAAAATCTTACTTTTCATGAAATTTGGCAATGCACTAATTCTTCCCCCAAACATCTGCATTAGTAAGAAATATGTGCAGCTACTTCTGAGTATAGCCAAATTTTAGAGTGGTTATCAGTGATGTAGCCTTTTTTTCTAGATCTTTTTTTTGTTGAGAAATCTTGCCAACCTGAAAACTTAGGCCTGTAGTCTAATAGCACATCTCCAGATCTAGCAGTGTTTTAGTTGTAATACATAAAAGAGATCCCAAAGCCGCATGAGTAATGAACGAACATATTTTTCCATAACTAAAACCTGTACGGCTTGATCCTTGGTAGCAGGTAACCAGTCACAATATGTAGCTATGCAAGGCCCTATAAAAAAAATTCTTCTAGCTGTGACCAGATTCATCAATACCTGATACTACACTGACAATGAAATTTGCTCACCATTTCAGGAAAGTAAGCAGAAGGTGTAGTGATCTAAGAAATGGGTATGCTTGCTACCCAATTTGACCCTGAGCTAATCTGCTCTGCTGTTTCAAGGTGACAATGAGAATAATATTATTCTTAAAATTTTGCTTATTGCCCTGTATTGAACCTGACACCACTAAGTAGAACAGAACTTGTCAAATAAAAATGAAATGAACAGCGCACATTACCAAATATGCTTTTCTTTAGGTAAGGTTAAAAACTGTCACACCAAAGTAAGTTTTGCTCTAACCAACAGCCAATACAAGAGTGTTGGTTTTTTTCTGCAGATGTGATATTTTATGATATTGTCTCTCTTATTACTTAAAAAAATAAATATGAAAAAAATTTTTAAAAAGTTAAAGTTCTGTAAAACCAAATAGATGTGACTATGTCCAAACACTTACGGGCAATATGTAACTACTGAATAAAGAAACTAAATGCGCCGGGCGTGGTGGCTCAAGCCTGTAATCCCAGCACTTTGGGAGGCCGAGGCGGGTGGATCACGAGGTCAAGAGATCGAGACACCCTGGTCAACATGGTGAAACCCCGTCTCTACTTAAAATACAAAAAATTAGCTGGGCATGGTGGCACGTGCCTGTAATCCCAGCTACTCAGGAGGCTGAGGCAGGAGAATTGCCTGAACCCAGGAGGCAGAGGTTGTGGTGAGCCGAGATCGCGCCATTGCACTCCAGCCTGGGCAACAAGAGCGAAACTCCGTCTCAAAAAAAAAAAAGAAACTAAATGCACCATTTTGGGAACCTACTGTCTCAATTTGTACATAATTTTAACAAACGTAGATAAATGACTTTCAGTATCATATAGAATCATTGTGTTTTGAAGAAGGGATGGCTTGCCACAAGCAGACACAAAGGAAAAAGACCAGTGTTTTCCAGGAATCTGGCAGCAAGAGGAAGAAAAGTAAAAATACTCAGAAAGTGAGCAGTGTGGAACTACTTAGAAAAGGAATCAATTTCCCCATCTCCATAAATTGCCCAGTGTGTACCTCAGTGAGTTAATTAAGCATATTTAAAAAGATAGGAAATTTTAAAATTTGATTTAGGAAGATTTTAATCAAAACAAAGATAATAAGATTACCTAGAATGACGTATTTCCGAAGATTCCAAAAAGCAATGATTTTACTATACTTACCTGAAGAAGGCAGCTTATAGCCCCATAACTAATAACACAACAGGCCTAACTATATATACTTGTTGTGCTATTAGTTATGAAGTCTATGAGTTAGTTATATACTAACTCATTTACATTCACTGAGGTTCCAACAATCAATTTTCTACCAAAAGCATCTCAAGTGTGATTATTCAGCTCATCTACATATTTTGCTATCATGCTCTGCAGTTTTTGACCAGATAGAATCAATTATTCGCTCTTAAGTAAATAACTGTCCCTTTATTATTGAAAGGAGATGAATATTTTAAAGCAGTAAATACCATTACATGACCATATGCTTTTTTTATTATTTTGAGTACATGATGAAGTGATTCCGATTGTTATCACACAAATCACGCCTTCCTCCTCTGCTCTATTCCACACTCATTCCACTAAAGCAGAAGTAGAAAACAGCACTAATTTAGAAAGAATTTAGGTGAATGAGATTGATGTCTTATACTTCAGGTATTGTGGAACAGAAAGGGTGATTTTACCAGAAAAAGTATTGAAGAGATTTTCTTTTGTACCTCAATGTTCAAGATACGACATAAAATTAGAAACTAATTATATATAATTTGCATTAAGAACCAAAATTAACCTCTATTCCTCAGGACAAAAATGCAAAGGATTCATCCCTCCGCACTCCTTGATGAATGTCTCTCTCTTCCACCCTTCACAACTGTCAGCGGAAAAGAAATATTTTACTGGAGCACCTCAATCCAATAGTCAGGCAGCCAATCAAACTCCCTAGTTCCCAAGCTAGTAATGCTCAGCCACTACTTATAACACACACACACCCCACTATACCATGTCACTTTCTCAAGGAAGAACAAACACCTATTTTCCCTACATTAACATGACCATGACCTAAAATATCATAAAACACACAAAAATTCTTACTCTGTCCAGCACTTGTCATTTAATGCATGTCAAAAAAAAAAGCTGTCTACATGTGATATTAAAAAGTCTGTTCCTAGATATATACCTTCTGTGTCACTTCTATAAACTATTCATTTGTTTATCCCATGGACATTTAGGGAGTATATGCTACTTGCTGAGCCACAACAATGAACAAGGAAGATTCACTATTTGCCTCATCAAACTTCCATTCTAAAAATATAGACAGATACTAAATAAGTAAACAAATAAGAATAAAATAAAATATAAATAAGTAAAATAAAATAATCACTAGTACTAAGAGACAAGAAGAAAACAAAAAGAGGGTGATGGTAGAGTAAATGACGATGGAGGGTGGTATGTGTGTGATGGAGTATTTTTTAAAAAGGTTTTCTGAGTTGGTGACCTTTTACTAACTTTGAAAGTTTGAAGAAAAGCATTTTAGGACTAGAGAATACAAAATGAAAAGGCCTTGTGGCATGAAAGGGTTTCTAAGAACTGTAAAAGACCCACAACTAGTAGAAGGATAAACACAGAATAAAGAGATAGTTGAAAACCAAGTAATATAGTCCACAATAATAAAATTGGATTTCCAATTTTCTTTCAATATGGTTTACAATAAAACTTGAAGAATAGCTTAACACAATTTGCAATTAGAAATATCACTCTGGCTGCTATGTGAAGAAATTGGAGACATTACAGGAAAAAAAATTATGTGGCTTAAACTAACGATACAGCAATAGCTATTTGGAGAAAGGAATAATTTGTTTAGAAAATATTGAGGAGATACAATACTTAGGAGACAAACACGATTTATCAGTGGATCATATGTTGCTATTGTTATACTTTCAAAGGCAGCTGGAATTTGAACTCCACAATGGCAGTTTTAAAAAATTGTCTTTCTGTGTTCTGTGTCTAAAATGAGGTTCATCTAGCATATTTCAGGTCCTTAATAAAATTGGGCTGAATAAACTAGACATACTTGCATATGCACTGTAACACCGTAAGAAAGGCTGGGAATTGTGCCAAGAAAACTCAAAGCAAGGAATTATGCTTGTGGGAAATTCTTGGGGGAGATAAGCCACTCATCAAGACTGATAGGACATTTTTTTCCAAGGTTGCCATTTAGGTGATGTCTATTCCAAATGAGCACTTACTCTAAGAACAGTTATTGGGTAAGTTGCTTAAGAAGACTTACTTCATCTCATATCTACCTATTTACTCCTCCTAAGCTTCTGCTCCTCTTTTAACAACATCTAGAAAATTCCCATTCTTAATCTGCAGAGACATAGTTCCTAGAGGACTATGTGGAAATACCCAGTACAGAGGCATTCCCCGCAGGTGAGTGAACTGTGAAATCTCAAGATTGGGGGAAAACACTAATCTGTGTGATACTGAGGTCACGAAATCGTCCTCTATGACAGTTTCTTCATAGCAACAGGAGGGGTTTTAACTAGAATTTTAAGAAATATTCTACCTCTAAAATCCCATGATTCTATTAAGTAAAAATAGGTTGAGAGTAAAATTCTCAGAAAGGTAAATTAAGAATGATTTGGGTATCGACAGGGGGAAACAGTGATGTAATCACCATTGTGGATAGATACAACACTTAGAAATAATGTGAATTAATGTTACTATGTTTAGGATATTGAGCTCACTTACTCTTCGGTATAGTGAGGAAGAATTATACAGAAGCATCTTCACGATATAAGTGGCATATGGAAGCCCAGGGACCTCGAGTGTCATAAACAAGCCAGTAGCAGAAAATATTAAGACGTAGTAATTACATCAATTTTCCATATGCATTGTTGCCCATAGCAAACGAGGTAAGAAGAAATCAGAGAAGGGCTGATCTCAATATTAGACAATTTTGAAGATCATTTGCTGCTCATTTCTCTTTATTTTAATATTTATATTAAATACTGTAATATTAAGGTGTATTATATAATACACATACATTTATACTTATATACATATATAAGTATAAATGTATAGTATACATTTATATATATTTGTTGTGCTATTAGTTATGAAGCTATTATTTTATGATATTGCCTCTCTTATTACTTAAAAAAATAAATATGAAAAAGAATTTTTAAAAAGTTAAAGTTCTGTAAAACCAAATAGATGTGACTATGTCCAAACGCTTATGGGCAATATATACGTATATAAGTATAAATGTATAATATACTTTATACTTATAAGTAATACTTTATACTTATATAAGTACTTATATGTAAGTATAAATGTATGTGTATTATATAATACACTTAAACTTTTTTATATATAAAATATATATACTTATA